TTATTTTTAGTTAGTAATCCTCTTGACTTTGAGATCCTCTAATATTTTAAATTTTTTGCATTCAGAAAATGTGGCATATCACAGTGATTAGAGAAGTTAATTATTTTGTTAAATCAATGCTATAAATAATTAAAACTAAGAACCTAAGGTTGATTATTTAACAACTAAGCAGGATATATTGAATGTGATATGTATAGTTACATCGAATGTGTTAGAAAGAGAAAATGTATTCACGATTTTTAATTTTGATAATTTATTGGAAATCAATTTAATTTTTACAATATACTATAGTGGTAGTAAAATATTCGTTATTAAACACTATTTTAATATATTTTGGTATAATATTAACCAAGCTAATAGTATAGTAGATCTAATTTGCGCTATTTTCATAAAGCAATTCATACTATCATTTGTTCTTGAAAATTCTTTACATTTCCGGACCCTACCTTTATAATTTCCAAAGATTTTCTATAGGATTCAGATTATTTATTATCATAAAATATTTTTATACGAGTATACTTCATTATATATTAAGAAGAAAATCTTGTAACTAAGTAAAAAATCTAACTAAAAGTAAAAAAAAAACAATTTAAAAAAAAATACTGCTATTGAAAATTAGCAAAAAGTGATTTTAAAATCCTAATTCAAATTATCTTTATTACCTTAATTATCACAACATAACATCAAACTATTGGTAAATTTAATAAGAGTTTGCAATAGTACAAATGAAGTTATATAAATATATTAGAGTTGGGCATGACCAGTCAATAGTCAACCTTAACTGAACCAATTTGACCAATTTGACCAATATATTATATTATATTATATATACAGTATTATACTATATCATAAAGTATATATTTATATTCATGTAATAAAACTATTAATTAATTAATAGATTATTAAGTTGACTAGACTTAGAGCTATTACTCGAGTGACCCAGTTGACTCAGTTACACTTAGTAAGAAAATATTCTAAAGCTAATGCCTTTTCTATTATTTTCCTTTAAATAGCGAAATATTGTGATTAGCTAATAAAAATTATACTAGAGAAACATGCTCAAAAAAAATTTTATATAATTTTAATAAAAATATAACAGAATAATTAAATTTTAATTTGCGAGATATCATATTTAAAATCAAGTAAATATATAGACTAAGCAAAAGGTATACTTTCTGAATTTTTATATAGTAAAAAATCAGTATACTAATGCTAATAAAACTTTATTATCATGTATGATGTTTTGTACCTAACTAAAACTACAGTTATGCCTATTACCCAATGACTTGAAAAGATAATATTTTAGCAAAAAACGAATTTGTTTTTTGCTAATACAAAATTTTATATAATTAAATATAAAATTATCATAATTTCTACTATATATTTAGGGAATTGCTATTTTCACTTCTATTTTTGCTAATGTTACCCTCCAAAATATATAAAAGTGCTCCAGAAAAGATATTAATATTAAGTAAACCTCTTTTTGGTATTAATTAAAGTTGTTTATTAGGTCTTTTTAGTTCTAATAGTGATAAAATCATTAAAACCAGATCAGTAATTCTTTTTTAAAAGTAAATTGAAGATTATAAAATTTAGATATAAATATTTTAAAAACTACTAATCTGATTTTAATTATTTTACTACTATTAGAACCAAAAAGACCTAATAAACAACTTTAATTGATACCAAAAAAGGTTTACTTAATATTAATATCTCTTCTAAAGCACTTTTATATATTTTAGAGAGTAGCATTAGCAAAAATAGAGGTAGAAGTAGCAATTCTCTATATTTATCTGTATTATATATATGTATAATTTTATATTTTAAATTTATATTTAATTTAGAAAAAGATAATATTTTAACAAAAAACGAATTCATTTTTTGCTAATACAAATTTTATTATATAATTAAAATAGCATTTAAATTTTATTTCGGAGCATTAAAATAATATTAATTTATAAAATTATGCAGAGATAGTTTAATATTTATTAAATTATGCAAAGATAGTTTAATATTTAAGTTTAATTTATTTATTTATTTAAACAAAAAATTTGTTTTTAAAAATTCTTTTATTCTTTTTTTTTTTATTCTTATTTAAAATGTCTAATGAAACTTCTAATTCAACTATATTTGATAATATTAATGAATGTGATGTACCTTCTAATAATTTAGATAATAATACAAAAGTTGAATGGTATATTCGTAAAGCTTAATCAATAAAAATAAAAGAATAAAACAAACTACAAAAACCAAAAGTTGATCCAAATACTGGAAAAAGATATACAAATATTCCTATTGCAAAAATCTTAGAAGTAGATCCAAGTCTAGTTAAAGAATGCAAAGTAAGTTTATAAATAAAATATTTCTAATTTAATAATACTATTGAAAAATTTTAAATCTTTTTTTATAATAGAAATTTCTTCATGATTTAAAGCAAAATAGTATCTATTCAAAAAAAATCAGTATCAAATATATTCCAAATGAAGTTCAAAAGGCATGGTTTAGAGAGGCCTCTAATGAATTTCCAGAATTTTCTAATACAGCTAATGATTAGGTTTATTATAAAATGCTTCGACAAACAATAAACTCAAAAGGTATTATAATTTTTATAATAATCGTATTTTAGTAATAATATTTTAGTAATTATATATATTGGTATTTCAATTTTTTAAAGTTGATTATATAAGACATAAACCCAAACGATTATTATATGCAACACAAAAGCGATCAAGAAAATATTTGCAAGAAGAAATTAATTTTGGTAATATTTATTTATTTTTTTCTTTATTATTAATATTAATTTAATATTTTAAATATATAATAATATATATAAATAGATGATACACAAGATCTAGAAATTGATACTCAAGATCAAACTAATAATATACAAGATCAAGTTCATGATCAGGAAATAGATGATATACAAAATCAAAATTTTATTAATGAAATACAAGAAACTGATAATAATTCTGAAACTAATAATGATAACGATAATAATATTAATGAAATTTATGAATCTGTGAATACAGAGGCTAATAATATTCTTAACAAAGTACAAGAGTCTAATAATAGTTTAGAATATAATAAAAAAAATCAAAGATCTAAAAGAGGTTAGAATTAAAAAATAATTTTATTAATTTTATACAATATCTAATTATATATATCTTTATAGTAAAAACCTTAACTATGAATCAAGAGTTCAATAATAAAAAAAATCAAGATCTTGAAAATGGTAAAATTTAAAAGTTAATAAAATTTTCTTTTTAATTATTATTTATTAATACGTATTTTTTTTTTATATTTAATATATTACTAAAGATTTTGAAATTAGAATATAGCATCCTCAAAAGTCTTTACATCTTCAAAAAACAAAGGATATATCAAAAAAAAAATATCCTCAAAGAAAATCTAAAAAATCAAAAAAATAAATAAATATTTATAAAGAAATAATAAAATTAGTAAGTAAAATTATATATATATTTTTCTTTATATAATACGTACTAATATTAATTTTATTACTAAAAATAAAATTTATAAAAATAAGTTTTTTATAAGGTTATATTTTTTAATATTAAAATCTAATGAAGTAAATACGAAGAATATTACAATTGTATACATATTTTATATATTAATAATATTTGCTTAAAATAAGTTCTGTATACAATATATATAAATAAAATTTAATATATAATAAAATATAGTTATTATATATAAATTCAATATATAAAAAGTATAATTA